TGTCTTGCAGTATGGGCACAATCTCTGCTGTTATCTGAGAAATTATTTCTGATTTCATTTTTCCCAGATCCTCTTTTGTTGCCAGTTCAGAGAGTTCAGGTTGTTGAGTATCATATTGTTCCATCTCATTTCCCTTTGAGAAATGAGGTGTAGGTGACCTGGAAGTCTGTTTTTGAGGCTTGCTTATGTGTCTTCTCATTTCCACAGTGTGTGGGTGTGTGTATGCTGTTGGTATCTGCGGGGCTTACCTCCTTTGCCCTGGGAGCGGTGGAATGGCGGCCTGGGAGCCTACTCCTGGGTGCTGGCATTGGCTCAAATGTAGCTCTTTTATGTACGTTAAAAAGTCTTTAAAATGTAAATTTTCAAAAGTATTAGTGTATGTCTACTGTGTGGCAGGTCCCATTTTGGACATTCAGGGTAGAAAGGGTTACAGGACAAATGTCCCTGGCCACTTGAGCTTGCAGCCTTGAGATAAGGTCGGGGAGAGGGGAGAAGGGAGAGGTAGCCCACTTGGCCCCTTACCCCAGTGAGATACCCTATATGTGGGTGTAATATACATCAGGGAACTGTGTGGGCCAGATAGTGGGACTTGAAAAAATCCTTTGGATGTTTTCTTCTTTTTTTTGTTTTCAGTTTTGCTACTGGGGATTGAACCCAGGGCCTCATATATGCTGGGCAAGTGCTCTACCACTATATCCCCAGACTCTTTTGGAGATTGAATGTGCAGGTTTTTAGAGTCTTCCTTTTTTATTCAAGCTTACCTAAAGTTTTATAGCCAGGTGATAAGGGGTGGTCAAATAGGTGTTCCATGTAGGGCTGTGATGGCAAACCTTTTAGAGACCACGTGCCAAACTGCAACTCAAAACCCTTATTTATCGAGAAGTGCCAATACTGCAATTAAACCTGAAAACTGATGTTTTAGTTTAGAAAAGACAACTCATACATTAACATATTTTGTCTTAAAAGATAAACACAGTATCACACATGTGCCATAGGTTCGCCACCACTGATCTAAGGCAAAATAAGGCCTTTTTGTGTGATTCATGATCTCTTCTAGAGGAATCACCCTTTGTTTTTTCTTTGTTGTTCTTGGGTGAACTCCATTGAAATGCAGCTGGACTTTCTATGGCATCTTTCCAGAGAAGTCTCTTAGCAT